GCAGTGTGGGTTGCACCTCGTCAAAGCACCCTTTATATAGTCCGGTGCCCTGGTTAGTTTAAAACATCAAACTGGAATATGCCAAACTGGTTTGCTCATAAAATCAACATGTTTGGTATATTTAGAGAGGTGAGAGCTCAGAGAGAAGAAAATGGAAAAAAACAGCTTTCTGGCCACTCCCATGTCCCCATTTTGGTGTCACAGACCATCAGGGAGTGCGGGGTGGAGGTGGGGTTGACACTTGGGGCTGGCCCGTCTCTGCGGCTGGTTCATGCTGGCACTTTGGATAAGTCCTCCGTGGATGTAATAGAGAGTCTCTAACAGCTCGTGGCCCAATTCCACCTGCCTGCAAGTGAAGACACGTGGTCAGCAGGAATTGGAGTGGAAGCTCCCTGAGTCCCTCTAGCTGCCCTGGTGTTTCCACGTGGAATCGGGGAAGCCTGCTGGGGGCCCACACTTCAGGGCGTGATCTGGGCCAATGCAGTTTTTGGCACAGAGAAAGAAGAAACCGTCCTCAGCACCCCTGAGTGGGAGACCCTTCCCCGTCCTGCACTCCTGAGTTCTTGGCCATTGCTGTTCTCCCTGACTCTCGGAGCCCTTCCCTGTGCCACCCCTCCCAGCCCAGCCCAATCCCTGCTAATTTTCTGGCTATAGGGACCCGAGCAGCCCCTTTGCCCAGCAGAACTTGACCTGCCTCCCACACTGGGCGGTGACATATAGAGAATACATAAAAGTCACAGTCCCTTCCACTCAGGAACCTTTTGGTATGGCATGAAAAAGTCTTCTGGTCCAATCCCCTGCCTCAGGGCAGAATCCTCTTTAAAACCAAGAGTCAAGGCTGCTGCTGATGGCAGCTGCCACGGAAGCACCTGCTCCACACAGGCGGGCTAGGCTGCACGGGGTCTATACCAGGTTATAAACGGTGTCTCATCCTCTGGGAGCTGCTTTCCCTTCCCAGATCTCCAGGCGACAGGGACACAGCCAGCATCTGGGGAGCTGGAACCTGGGCCCGCATCACTGTGAAACCCGCGGCCACCCTTCCCGCCCAGCCAGACCAGCAGAGGTGGAAGACGGGTAGGGCCCACGGGGCTCATAGTTTCTCCTCCACAGGTGCCTGGCGGAAGGGGCAGGGGACGTGGCCTTTGTGAAGCACAGCACGGTGCTCGAAAACACTGATGGTGAGTGAGGGGCTGGCCCACAAGGTCTGAGCAGGGTCTCAGGCCGGGGCTGCCTGGGGCAGGGCCCCCAGATGGCAGGGCCAGAAGCGAGTACCCTAGTTCAGCCCCTGGCTCTGAGTTTCTGGGTCTCACCAATGGAGCTCCCGCTGCTCCTCGGGGCCGGGCAAGGGGAAGCTGGGGGCTGCTTTTTATAAAGTCTCCAGATCTCTGCACTGGACCTCATCTACTGCCCCTTCCTGGCTTCTCCTCTTGCCTGGAGAAGCCATCCCTCCTCCCTGGAAAGATCTATTTAAGATAGGTTGGTGTTATATGTTGATCCATTATGTCATTGTCATCTAAATTTTTAAATTTTGAAATAATTGAGCTTTAGGAAAGTTGCAAGAATAATTCAATGAACTCCCAACTGTTCTTTACCCAGATTCCAACTTTTAACATTTGGCCTCATTTGACCTATCATTCTTTCTGTGTGTGTGTGTGTGTGTGTGTGTGTGTGTGTGTGTGTGTGTGTTTTCCGACCCATTTGAAAGTACATTTGCCTGTGGCATACACCTTGCATACTCTAGAACGTGTCTCCTAGGAACAAGAGCACGTACACCTAGCCCTAGTAATCACACTCAGGAAATGTAACATTGACACAGTACTAATCCCTAATCTACAGGTGATATTCCAGATTCACTCACTATTCTGATTCTCTCCTTTGTAGCAATTATTTTCAAACCCAGGACCTAATCTATGATCACACATGGTATTTAGTTCTTGGATCTAAATCATGGTATTTAGTTCTTTAGTTCTTGGATCTCTTTAGTTTCCTTTATCTTGCAGTAGTTTCTCAGTCTTCATTTTTTATGACATTGGCATTTATTTTATAAAATGTCCCTCTGTTTGGATTTGCCTGAACATTGTTTCTTTTTTTTAAATTGAGATATAATTTACATGATGCAACATTTACTCTTTCTGAAATACAGTTCTATGAATTTTGCCAAAAACATACAGTTGTGTAACCACCACCACAATCAAGATATTGTTGGGACAGACCCCTCATCCCAAAAGTTCCCTCATGCCCCTGCCAGTTTATCTCCCCTCCCCACCCGCCAACAACCACCACTCAGACTTTCATCCCTGTAGTTTTGCCTATTGCAGAATATCTGGTCGTTGTCTTTAAAAAAAAAAAAATCATTGTCTTTTGTTGCTGTTGTTAATCTCTACCTTTTAAATCAGAAAGCCCACCATGGAGTCTGACCACCATGAAAGCAAACACAAACCAGATTGGAGCAAGGGGAGAACAAGGGATCTGAAAAGGGATGGAGCACAGAGGATGGTTTCATGCAAAATGGGCACCTGGACAGAGGCCCGAGATGAATCAAGAAGGAGAAATTTGGAAGACGGGCAAAGAATAGGGGTGCATTGGGCTAAAATCAGCTTTTTAAAATTTTTGACATTAATCTAAGGAAGTAATTTTTTAAAGAGCATCTTTTTGAAAAAAGGTTGATAAAAGGAAAAGAGTAGAAGTAGCATAAACGTCTCAAGTAGTGAAGTGACAGGACTTTCATGTTTCCTGGCCAAGGAGAAACAGGAGTGGCGGGTGGAAGCACCTAAAGGGCGATTGTCTCTGGGAAGGGAGGTGATCTAGCCAGCAGCCCTGCAGCAGGTTACAAGAGAGGGGAGTTGGGGCGTGGGGACAGAGTTGCACTGAGGAATTAGGAGTGCTATAAACCACCACGAGGCATTAACAGTGGCCTTTGTGGAGTTCTTCCAAAGTATTATTCTGTTGTTTTTTGGATTTTGTTTTTAAATAGCTTAGCAGTGAAAGTTTTCACAATCCTACAAATTATCTATTCCCTTCCTATTTCCTTGTACAGGTTTCCCCCTGGTCTTAATTTAAAAGTCATAAAAATATTGTTAGGTAGGACTATCTGTAGTTTAGTTACAGTCCTTAATATTAGTTTTTTCAGTATTCTGATTTGGTGTCAATAGACACTCTTTCAAATAAATATTTTCTATGAAGAAACAAATGGGTTTTATGAAAAGTTTCCAATAATGTATAAAAATACTTGATAGATATAAGTGGAAAAAACAAGTAGTATGCAAAATTGTCTGACATCTATGTCTTTAACCATGTTAAAGATGGTTATGAAATAGAAATAGAGCAAGATCATGGAAACAACCCAAGTGTCCATCAATTCATGAGTGGATAATTAAAATTTGGTATATGCTCACAATGGAATACTACTCAATTCTAAGAAACAACAGTGAGCTAGCACCATTTACGCTATCCTGGATTAAGTTTAAGCCCGTTATCCACAGCGAGGCAACACAAGATCAAGAAAATGGGCTCCACATCTGCTCGCCATCAAATTGGTACTGACTGATTAAAACTATGATGCTCAAATGGTGATAGTGCTCACCAGGGATTGGGGGAGGGGGAGATACACATCTTAGGGTTGTGGTGAGCATTGTGGGGGGTTGTGTGGGAATACCTCTAACCCTTTGTAGGGACAGGCAAAGATATACAATGTAACCAAAAGGTCAAAAAAAGGGAAAAAAAAAACTTTTATCGAGTGGTGGGCAGATGGGGGGGAGGAGGGGAAGGATATATACTTACAAATTAGGTGCAATGCACACCACCTGGGGGTAGGACATACTTGATGTTTTGGTAAGGCGGGGGACGGGGGGAGGAATGGCAGGGGCAATATATGTAACCCTAACAATATTTGTACCCCCATAATATGATAAAATAAAATATAAATAAATAAATAAAATAGAAATAGAAAACAGGAAAAAAGACTTGAAGGAAATGCACCAAAATATTAATAGTTGGGGTTGTGTGCAAAGCTCTGGCTCTTTTCTCCCTGGGCCACAGTTCTGGTAGATTCCATCAGGGTGTATTCCCACCCTGGACTCCACCTGCTAATCAGAGTCAAAGTTAGTGCCTGACAGCAGCAGTGGGTGGTTCATTCTAGACTCTCGGTACATTCATCTCACATCCTAAGCTGCTCGTATTTTCTTACTCTTTTTATCTTATTTAAATAGTCGTGTTTATATGTATTGTATTATTGTCAGATATCTCCAATCCGTTTTAGTAATACAAGTTGGTGAGAAGTGGAAAATGTGAGTAGCTAGACACAGTCTATGTGGATACCTGGTCTTGTAGGGTGCAGCCGCCAAGCTCTGCCCCTCCTGAGTCCTGAGTTCTCACCTCCCTGACACTGGCCTCGCCCCACCCTCCCTCTCCTGGGCCTTCTTGGATGCCCTCCCTGAACCCCTCCTGGTTCAGGAGTAGGTTTACCTCAGGCTTCCTGTCTTCCCAGGGAAAACCCTGCCTTCCTGGGACCAGGAGCTGCTGTCACAGGACTTTGAGCTGCTGTGCCGGGATGGCAGCCGGGCTGATGTCACCGAGTGGAGGCAGTGCCACCTGGCCCGGGTTCCTGCTCATGCCGTGGTGGTCCGGGCTGACACAGACGGAGGCCTTATCTTCCGACTGCTCAATGAAGGCCAGGTGGGCTCAGGGCCCTGCACAGCCTCCCAGGTGGTGCTGGACCTTCTTGTCACTCACCAGAGTTGGGGCTCAGGGCTAACTAAGGCCAGGAGGGGCAGGACCCAGAGACCATCCCCAGGACAGACCGTGGCTGGGGATCCAGGCCTCTGTGGTGTCAAGCCCCAGGCCAGGTCAGCATGAATGAGGGACCCGCTGTGGCAGGCAGGAGGGCTGGCCAGTGGAGGGAGATCGGCAGACGCAGGCCCCCTCAGAGAAAGCTCCTTGTACTTGTGCCTCTAAAGACCAAAACCAGAACATGGGAGCAGAAAGCAAAATGACACAACCAGTACATTTCAAAGTGTACCATTAATTACATGCAGTGAATAAGGTTTTGCTGAAACCTCTGCTCACAGCAGCACTGTTTCCGACTCCCGAGTGCGCCCCAGCTTCTGCTACTTTCACCCCATCCAGACTGCGGCTGCCCAGCTGGCCCTCAGCACCATCCACACCTGGGCCATCTGTCATGTGTCCAAACAGCCGAGTGTGGCGAGCAGGATGGCCTAGGATGAACTGGCAGGGCACAGGGGAAGGAGACAGGGGATCAGGAGAGGTGCCGAGGGGGGCCCTCACACGGCTCAGGGACCTCTGTCCTGAGGTCGCAGGAAGAAGGAGGTGGTGGTTGAGCTGGGGAGGGAAGGATGTGGCCTGGGAGCAGCTCACCAGCCCCTGTCCCCACCCCTGGACACACAGCGTCTGTTCAGCCACGAGGGCAGCAGCTTCCAGATGTTCAGCTCCGAGGCCTATGGCCAGAAGAACCTGCTGTTCAAGGACTCCACCTCAGAGCTCGTGCCCATCGCCACACAGACCTACGAGGCCTGGCTGGGCCACGAGTACCTGCATGCCATGAAGGGTCTGCTCTGTGACCCCAACCGTAAGTCCGCCTGTCCCTTCCCAGGCGTGGCAGGACTCTCTGGGAAGGTGGCCTGGGAGGACACTCACCCAGGAGGCCCTGCATGTGCCCCTCGGGCTCCGTGGGAACCTGTCTCTTCCACTTCTCTGCCTCTGAGGGTTTGGGGAGAAAGCAGCTCTGCGGTTGCCCAACCCGCTGCACGGAGGCCCCACCTGCCAGGAGGTGGCAGCTGGGCCCCTGGCGTCTGTCTTGGGGAGGGGCTCCCTGCCCCTCCATGCCGGGGCCATCACAGCCTGTCATTTCCTCTCACTCCTGCCTCTCTCCACCCAGGGCCATGGCCCTGGTCAGTCCCGTCTCTCACTGGACTATGACAGTAGCCCACAGTGGGCTTCCTGCCTCTACCCTGTCCCCATATATCCCTGCCTACAGCCAGGGAAGCAGGTGCCAGGCACTGAGTTAGATACGTGACAGCCATGGTCTACCCCAACCTCTCACAGCCCCATGAGGAAGGTGCGGTTGTCCTTTCGGTATGAGGAGGCGGGACCAGATGGTTAAATACCTATCCTGGCCACACAGCCAAGAGAAAGACCCAGAATTTCCCTTGAGTCTGACTCCAAGTTCTCCCCCTGGTGGTACCGGCCCCACGGCCCTGCCCCGCAGGGTGCGGCTGGCGGGACCGCATGCTCGCCCCACACAGGGCTGCCCCACTACCTGCGCTGGTGTGTGCTGTCTACTCCCGAGATCCAGAAGTGTGGCGACATGGCCGTGGCCTTCAGCCGGCAGAGGCTCAAGCCCGAGATCCAGTGTGTGTCGGCGGAGTCCCCCAAGCACTGCATGGAGAGGATCCAGGTGGGGGCCGTGCCCAGGTGGACCGGCGGGGGCAGTGCTGGGGTGGTCCTTACTGTTCGCTGGCCCCCGTGCCACCTGGGGAGGGTTAGAATGTCTCCCTCAACAAGCCCTCAGAGCAAAGGGGAGAGGAAGGGCCACAGGGACCTGCACCCCAACCCGGGAGACAGGGAGAAGGGGCTGTTTCCCCAGGGGCTGAAGAAGTAACTTGCTAAGGTCGCCAACTGGCTTGTGGATGATCCACCTTCCCCAGGGGCCAAGGGAAGCCTGTCCCTGTGCAGAACTGAGCTCTCCTGCACGTGAGGCTGATGGAGAAGGGGCCGAAGCTGGAATTGAGGAAAGGACTTAGGGGTGCAGGGTCTTTATTCCCAATGCCGGAGGGGGGCTGCCCTATTGTTCCAGGGGCCCCAGAGCAGCGAGAGGTGCAGGGAGGGAGCTTCCAGATCCCTCTAGGTGAGAGTCTCCTCTCAGTCTGAGCTCACGGAGGGCCAGGGGGCTGCCAGGTGCCTGGGGGGAGAGAAGCAGACGTCAGGAGTTCCTCAGGACCGCAGCAAGAGGCTCAAAGACCCTCAGTTCTAGCTTCTGTGGTTCTCAGAGATGGTGTCTAGCGTGGCTCTAATGCCCATTTCCTGTCCAGCCAGTTGCCTGCACTGTGGTCCAGCGTCTGTGTGTTCCCCCTGACACAGTAGGGAGGAAAAGGTGGGGGGGTGGAGGTCACCACCTGCTATTCCAACGTCAGCACTTCATGCCCGTTCCCCAGTGGTGTGGGGCACCTGCCTAAGTGTGGGTGTCTCCTCTCTCCCTCAGCCTCACGACTTCCCTTGGGTTTGTCACACCACTATGGCTTCATTACCAACCAACCTCCTCTCAGGGCCCTGGGCCACCTCTCAGGAGGCTTCCAGATGGACACCTGGGGTGGGGCGTGGGCGACCTGGGGGCATCGGGCCCATCTTGCTGCCTCCTCCAGTGAGGCTGTGTCCCTCATCCTTGGAGCCATCTTTCAAGACCTGGGTCATTCTTCAATTTGCACATGGATTGACAAACACAGTGCACTCGTGCTATGTGCCAGCCCTTGGCTGGGTGCTGGGGATACGGTGCCCCATTCTCTGGGGGCCGACAGTCTGTGGGGAGACCCCACACCAAGCATGAGGGCAGGGGTCGTGCTACGCTTTGTTCAGAGCAGGGACACACAGGAGACCCTGGGTAACCAAGTGCTGACAGAATGGTAACCCAGGAGTCTGGCTGGTTCCAGCACCACACCCAGACTCCACCCCACCCTTCCCACCCCACCCCGCACCCCCGCTCCAAGCAGCCCTCCTGGGCAGGCGTCTGCACAAGGAGGGGAAGGGGCAGGCGGGCAGGATGGGGCACTCCCCACCCAGGTTCCGCAGGGGAAGGGAGCCCGAGGCCACAGCCCCAAGAGACCAGGCCCTGCCAGTCCCGGGGGATGCGGCATCCCGAACCATCCTGGGATCTCCTGAACCATCCTGGGGTCTCCCCAGCCCTCTCGTCTTGTTTCCTTCAGGCTGGGCACATCGACGCTGTGACCCTGAGGGGTGAGGACGTTTACACGGCGGGCAAGACATACGGCCTGGTTCCCGCGGCGGGGGAGCAGTACGCCCGTGAGTGCAGGTCCCGCCGCCCAGCAGTGGCTGGGAGGTGGCTGATGTTGTTATAAATACTAAAATGTGCCCCCTCAGCCATTTCTGGTCACCAGGCACACCCTCCTGCCCCAGGCCTCAGTTTCCCCATCTATTCAATGAATGTCTCTACGGGGTTGGAAAACTTTCTGTAAAGGGTCAGAGAGCAAATACTTTAGGTTTTACAGACCATAGTCTCTTTTGCATATTCTCCTGCTTTTTAAATAACCCTTTGAGAATATAAAAACCATTCTTAGCCTGCAATCCAGGCCATACAAAGTTTGCCAACCGTTGGACTCCTGGGTCTCAGCTGCCCAGCCCTGACCATCGCTGCCCATGGAAGGGGCCCACAGGAGTACCCCCCTGTCAGCTCATTCTCCTCAGTGGCCTGGGTGGGGGCTTCGGCCTCCGTCCTCCTAAGTAGTGACCTCTGGGCTTGGGTCCCTTCCACTTGGATGTCAGAAATCTCTGGGCTTAAACAAAATGCTTCTGTGGCTGTCAGCTACCCCACCACTTTTCTCCCAGGAGTGAGAAAAATAACACCTGGGTGGAAGGAAAGAAATCCCTTAGGGTGAGGACTGAAACGTGGAGCCATATGGGCTGCTTCCCCAGAGGGGCTAGAAGGGCCCTGCCAGATTTGCTGCATTTGCTGCGTGGCCTGTGCAGCCGGGGCAGACCCCCGCTCGGCAGAGACACAGGAGGGAATGGATTTAGGGAAGGGCCCCATGCGACTGGCCCCTGGCTCTCAGGCGTGTGGGGTCCCTCTCTCCCCAGCGGAGGACAGGAGCAACTCATACTTCGTGGTGGCCGTGGTGAGGCGGGACAGCTCCCACGCCTTCACCTTGGATGAGCTCCGCGGCAAGCGCTCCTGCCACCCGGGCTTTGGCAGCCCCGCTGGCTGGGACATCCCCGTGGGCGCCCTCATCCAGAGGGGCTTCATCTGGCCCCAGGACTGCGACATCCTCACAGGTACCGCCCTTCCAGGGACACAGGCTCGGGAGCTCTTCTTTGGGATTGGCTGGGGATGGGTGGCCAGCTCTGAGGTCGGGGACCTTGTTGGAAAGTGGCCAGCCTTCTGCACAAGTGCCCGGCTATCTTCACAAGTGCTCAGTTGGAGACAGAGGTGGAAACATTTACCAAGCACCTACCACGTGCCATACACAAGGCCCTTCCCATGTGTTAATCACTCAGCGTTCACGGTGAAAGGAAGGCCAAGTCGGAGGACGGCAAGATCCTTGGGCTGACTGGCCACATACCTCTGCCCCGACTAGTAACTCAGAAAAAATAAAAACATATTCTTTTTAGGCCAGGCGTGGGGGCTCATGCCTGTAATCCTAGCACTCTGGGAGGCTGAGGCGGGCGGATTGCTCAAAGTCAGGATTTCGAAACCAACCTGAGCAAGAGCGAGACGCCACCTCTACTAAAAATAGAAAGAAATTAATTGGCCAACTAAAAATATATATATAAAAAAGAAAAAAACATATACTTTTCTAACCGCCAGCACAAACACACAAAAGGTACTAGGGTTGGTCCTGCCACTCTCAGACAGCTGGGCAGTTGCTCTGATTGGAACAGAATAGCTTATGAGGTAGTGAGTTCCCTGTCCCTGAGGCAGTTCAAGCAAAGGCTGGGTGACTACTTACCAGAAGGTTCCTGTGTCTAGGCAACCTCTGTATTCCCCATCCCTGAGATTCTCCCAGGAGGGGACATGCCACTTGGAGCTGGGTGGGGAGCAGAGCAGATGGCTGGCCTTGAACAGCAGGGCCAGGTGGGTGGGCAGATTTGTGGGGAAGCAGCCCCCCATCTCCTCCCTGCCACCCTTTCTGCCGCTGGCCCTCATCGCAGCCCTTCCCTTCCCCCCAGCGGTGAGCGAGTTCTTCAACGCCAGCTGCGTGCCCGTGAACAACCCCGTGAACTACCCGCCCTCCCTGTGCGCGCTCTGCGTGGGGGACGAGCGGGGCCGCAACAAGTGTGTGGGCAACAGCCAGGAGAGGTACTACGGCTACAGCGGCGCCTTCAGGTACTCGCGGGTGGCAGGCTGGGCAGGGCAGGGCCCCAGACAGAGGCCGGGGCCCTCCTCCCGACGCCACCCTGTCCTCCTGTGTGGCAGGTGCCTGGCGGAGAATGCAGGTGACGTCGCCTTCGTCAGGCACACGACCGTCTTTGACAACACAAATGGTAGGTGAGCAAGGCTCTAGCCAGAGCAGGGCCAGTCCCCAACACAATCCAGACACCAGCCAAGAAAGCCCCAGGGGCCATGCCGTAAGAACAGACCTCAGGCCACACGTCCAGGGTGCAGGACTCATGACAGTCTTTACTGGGCTGGAGTTCAAGTCCCTATCCCACTGACATGGTAGAGACCCAATTTGGAGAGACCCCCTTCTGGGCGTATTTACACAGTGCCAAGGTGGAGGGGGGCAGGAGGCTGGCAGGGATCTCCCTGGGCCCAGAAAGGCAGGGCTGTGGCCCGGAGGGGAGGAGGATTGGTCAAGGAGAAACAAGATAGGGAAACACCAGTGGGTATTGCAAATCTTGGCCTCTGCCTGCCCGTGGAGGCCACCATCCCGAGGAGGAAGAGCCATGCACTCCTGCCTGAGCTGGTGTGGTCAGGGATGGGGTCAGAGATCAGAGGGACCCCACCTCCCAGGCCACCCATTTCCGTTTTATCTGTAGCTCTCCTCTGGCCTACCTGGAGTTCCTTCTGGGAATGGAAGGAGGGTGGATAGTAAGCAAAGGCATGAAGGCACAAAGACAGTGTGATTCCCCAGGACAGTGTCTTCTCAGGAAGCCCTGGGACCACCTGCTTCAGGCTCATTGGGATGCTGGTTTTAAAATGCATATTCCTGGGCCCCACCTGAGACCTCCCAAATGAGATTCTTTGTAAGCAGGAGCCCTTAAAGCTGCCTCTTACATCCCACCCCCCCCCGCCCCCGCCAGTTTGAGAACTTCAGCCTTTAGAGGTGCAGATCCACCCACCAGCTTCTGGAACTCACCCCACCCTCAGGCCCCAGGCTGTAACACACAGATGGGAGTCTTTGCCCAGGAGTGATTAAGAGCCTCAGTTTCCTCACCTCTAAATTGGGACACTAATACCTGCCCTGTGTTGCTGTCGTGAGGATCAAGCAGCTCTTGTGAAGTGCCTGTCACAGAGTAGGTACTCCCTAGTCCCTACTAGAGGTGGCTCCTGCTACAGGATTAGCGCAGCTGCTTCCCTCACCTGACAATGCTGCAGGGCACCTGGAGAGTGGAGGGTTGGGGCGCTGGCCAGACACTGCCACCTGCCCCCAGTGAAGGATTTGGGGATGCGGAAGGATAGCGGCCTCGTC